GCTGGGCCACACGTGTTCGATGCCGAACAGTCGATGTTAAATCAACAGTGATTGGCTAAAACGACTCTATCACTGCTTCGCGGAAACAGCCGAATTGCTCGATGCTCAACAAACACAATAACACGAAATACTACTCTGCGTCTTTCACGTAGACTAACTAGAAAACTACCGAATAGACGTAATAATTTTCAAATTTCAAGGATTTCTCCAGGACTACTTTAAAGATTTAAGGACTATTCAAGGAGCACAAGCAAATTCCAGGATATTCCAGGATTTTATCTAAATTCCAGGATTTTCCAGATTTGTGCGAACCATGTAAATATAGATTTAAATATAAATTTCATTTGTCAAAAATAAAAACTCACTTTTGGAAACAACTGAGACAGCAGAAGCCGACTCTGACCCAGCGTGCTTAGTCTTATACATCCTGGCAAATCCCATGTCACCAAGACGAGCATTGTTCCTGTCATCTAAAAACACATTGCCTGGCTTGATGTCTCGATGAAATATTGGTGTGCTACAAAAAAAGAACATAAATCAAAGAATGATTAGGAGTCTTTTTTTAAAGTATTTTTGAATTTTTGAAATAAGCAACTTCTAAACTGTATGAAAAAAAAAAACAGACACCACCCCAAGTGTTGCATTTGACAAGCTCTATAAAGCACAACAAACCAGAGGTCTCTACCTTTTATAATTCCAGAATTACTGAGAGTTTTCACTATTGGCATCTGATGGCTGCTTCTCCCATGAAAATGCACCAATGGACCCCAAAATCATAAAGATGAAACTAAGCCCCAAGTGTAACTTCTCATCATTATTTAAAGCATAAAACGTTTCTTTTTTCCCCCCTTTTTTTAAGTTGGCAAAAACAAATATTTTTACGTAGAAAAAAATTAGCTCAGGCTGGTGGTACAATGAGTTTTTATCTTTTCATAAAAGAATGAAGTTACCCTGAGTCCTGCAGAAAACACACTGCATCTGCAAGTTGCACACTTATCCTGAGTCTTGCTTTCCAGTCTAGTTGTTTGGCGGCAATTTTATCTTTCAATGTGCCACCAGTCATGTAAACATACACCAAGGCTTTGCGATATCTGGAATGACATTTGAAATTGTGAACTATGTAAACTCTGCAGGTCTATCAAATCCTTTGCATTAAAATACATTTTTAATTCACTTTTCATTTACGTCAAATTTAGAGACATGCCACCAACTGCTTTTCTTTCTTATCTCTTATCAGTGAGATAAAATTGCCAAAACAGCATCTTCAGTACCTGACAAATTTGTACCACTAATATGAAATCTGATAAAGTATGTGATAATATTCACCTATTTTCATGACAATTTTCCTTCATTTTTCTATCTATTTATTCGTTTACTTATTTATCTTATATTTTTTGTTCAACACTTCTTTTACAGTGCATATACATTGCATAAGATACATATTATACTTATTGTTTCACAGATATTCACTTATTCAACCCTTATCAAAAACCAGACCCCTGTCTATCCTCACCCTCCTCCCTCCTCTTCACATACGCCAAGTGCCGTCAGCAGATAGGTGTACTTTAACTTGGCTATTTCCTTCTCCTTAAAGAAAAGGGGTTAAAATTACTGGGTTAACATGGTTTTAAAGCATTAGTACTCATCTAACTCATCTACGGGTGCATTCCCAGAGACTTAGATCGATCCAGAGATTTAGATCTGGATCGATCTAACTCCCTGGGGGTTCATGCTAAATTGCAGTCAGTCGAGCGCGCACGACAGTTAATTACCCCCTTACAGCTTTAAGCGGGACAGACGCTTAAGCCGGCTAAGCTGACAGCAATCTAGTGAGACTCCCCACAGGGATAGATCGATTTAAAATATGTGGGAATGGGGTCTAAATGTTAGACCAGTATTGGAAAAAACAACTGGAGTGAAGCCCAAGACAGAATATACTGGAAGAATACACTGCTAAGGCCTCCTCAAACAGTGGGACACTTTAGGCTTTGACTGATGACTGAAAGCATTAGTTACTATCCGGTGCATTATCAAATCTTAATAATCATTATATTATAACGTTTTCCTCTTGTGAAAATCACAAGCCTGTGATGACATTTATGACGACAGCTTTGCATTTTTAAGTCCAATAATTACTTATGCTGGAAGAATTAAGAAAAGTGTCTAAAAATCTTTTTACAAAGAAGGCCATACCCTATCAAACTCCAAATCTCCCTGGCAACTGCCCTCTTTGAGCCTCTTCACAGCAATTTCCCTATTTTTCAAAGGTCCATCGTAACAGAAAGTGCCTTGAAGAGAAAATTAAACTTTGAAGATAATACACAACACGTATCTTCTAAAAAAAATATACTTTAATTGGTTTGACTTGATGTAATCTGTACACAATTTCAGCCATAACATGCATGTCGCAAATCAAAAGACATGGATAACTAAGCAAAACATTACATAACATTACATGAAAACCTTACATTAAAAACCTTAACATTACATGAAAACCTGTAAAATAACATGGAACTTGGCCAAACATAAAATAGCATAACACATCATAATATTACCCATTCCAGAACAATACACTACAGCACAACATAATATAACATAGCACACACAACATAACAAATATAACACAATAAAAAACCATTACACAATACAATATAACATAACACAATACAATGCAACACAATATAACACAATACAACAAAAGTATCTTTAGTAAATCAACCCACCTTTATGTACGCCCCCAAACCCACACTCCTCATCTTTAGCCAATTGGTCCTGGAAACCATTGGTCATGGTCACCAAATGGCCATAGTTAAAATAGTACAGATTGTCCCTGGTCCTGAACTCTGGCCATGGACAGGGATCCAGTAAGAAAGCACCTTTAGCAGAAAATAAGAATATAGGGATTAAAGATAAAAATTATAATGCCCTTCACAATCTTGACATGCAAGTCATTTACTTCATTCTCATTATGTGACACAATGTGATTTAGATACCTGATCAGATTATATTTTACTATAATCAGCCGGTTCTTTGTTCTCATACACATTTCACTAGTATTGTTTCACAAGCTTTCCATGATGAATGTGTGGTTCAATCTAACAGATTTCCATGCAATAAATTACTCATAACCAAAAAATTATTATCAACATCAATATCATTTTATCATTATCATTAAGGACCTGATTGTCTCAATGCCGACACTTCCTCTGCTGTAGCCTTCCTAGAATCAGTTTGCTCTTCTCCAGGATAGCCTTGACCCTGACCTTGACCCCGGCCTTGACCCTGGATAATACAAAGCAAATAATCCAAGTGCAGGGATGGGTTGAACAATAATAATGGAGANTACAGACACATCTGTGTCTGTACATAAAAAATCATAACAATATTACACAATACAATATAACATAACACAACACAATGCAACACAACATAACACAATACAACCAAAGTATCTTTAGTAAGTCAACCCACCTTTATGTACGCCCCCAAACCCACACTCCTCATCTCTAGCCAATTGGTCCTGGAAACCATTGGTCATGGTCACCAAATGGCCATAGCTAAAATAGTACAGATTGTCCCTGGTCCGGAACTCTGGCCATGGACGAGGATCCAGTAAGAAAGCACCTTTAGCAGAAAATAAGAATATAGGGATTAAAGATAAAAATTATAATGCCCTTCACAATCTTGACATGCAAGTCATTTACTTCATTCTGATTATGTGACACAATGTGATTTAGATACCTGATCAGATTATATTTTACTATAATCAGCCGGTTCTTTGTTCTCATACACATTTCACTAGTATTGTTTCACAAGCTTTCCATGATGAATGTGTGGTTCAATCTAACAGATTTCCATGCAATAAATTACTCATAACCAAAAAATTATTATCAACATCAATATCATTTTATCATTATCATTAAGGACCTGATTGTCTCAATGCCGACACTTCCTCTGCTGTAGCCTTCCTAGAATCAGTTTGCTCTTCTCCAGGATAGCCTTGACCCTGACCTTGACCCCGGCCTTGACCCTGGATAATACAAAGCAAATAATCCAAGTGCAGGGATGGGTTGAACAATAATAATGGAGTAAGATAAAATAGTTTATTTTCTCTTGAGGATAATTAGATTTAGCTTTGAAATCCTGTATGGGCTACCTTTAGGGACAGTTCACATGCAAAATCTATTTTCTAAAAATCTAAAAATCTATTTGCCGTATCTTGTGATCACAGTCTGTGCCTTGAATACCCCACGGCATAATTACGGACAGTGCGAGCCAGTTATTTCCAAAGCTGTAATTAATTCTCGGCACTGCCAGTAATTATGCTGAGGAATATTCAGGGCACAGACCGTGATCACAAGATACCGCAAATAGATTTTTAGATTTTTAGAAAATAGATTTTGCATGTGAACGGTCCCTTAAGGTAACAATTAACAGGGTAGCTATCTTCTAAACCTCCCAAGATATACCAACATGATACATATCAAGAGAAAGCTTATTTCAACAGCTTTTCATTTCATGTCCTTATTTTATTATGTAATCGTTACGTAATGAGATATAATGCTTAATAGGTGTGCTCAACATGATCTTTACACATTAAAAACTAGAAGTCCACTACAAATGGATATGTGCAGACAGCTTGACTCGTGAGCCCTCACTGGGATCAACAAGAATGCGCCTCAAATTAGCAATATGTGTTAAATTAGCAGAGATATCAAAATAAACCTGATTTCCAGTTCAACGAGACCCCCTAGCCTAACTAAAGCATGCGTAAGTTGAAAACAGAGCTGATGTTATGAAATCCCAGACACACATTTTGACACAAACCTTAGATCTAACGAATGAATGCCAGCTTTCATCGGTTGAGAGTTCTAATTAATTTTGACACTGGTCTAAATCGTTCTCTTGAAGCCATAAACTGAAGCGGAGAAATCAGCCTTTTAGTGCTCCCCGGAGATTCCAACGTTGTATAACCAGTGAGCTGCATTGGCAAGCTGAGAAATTTAGTTATTTATACTGGTTCAGCCCTCTACTCACTGCCTATGTAACTGTCACTATGACTTTCATCCATTTTCAACATTATTATTGAACATTTTCAACCGGAGGCCCCCTCCATGCATTGACAGCAGCCACCATGTTAGTCGTGAAGTCACCCTTCTTTACCACGTGAGACCTAGGGGGAGTGCCTTTGCCCATATACGTCTCATCTATATCTCTGCTTTTTAGAGCTTTAGTAGATCGTCAGAATTAAGTTCACTGATAAATTCAAAATGAAAAGTATTGTTTGGCAAGTGAAAGCGGGAAGTTACTCACAGAATGTGAAAGGCTTAGCAGCAATCTAGTACGGGAATTATACAGCTGCAAAGTGGAGCTGCCAATCAAACACATATATGGACAAGTGTGACCTACTTTAAAACTCAGACATGCTACCACAGGGGTAAATCAGCAATTAGGCTAAAATTACGGGTTTATTTGTAAACTTCCATTATATTAAGATAGGCTGATATGTAGTTGATATTTCATCTATCTAATACTGACAAATTCAGAAACACACCCACATTTTGGCCATTTACTGTTAATTGCTACCTTGAGTGACATACTCTTTTATCTACAAATACAATACACCTATTATTTAGGAGAAAAATACAACCCATACCCCCTATTTGTTTTTCCATACAAATTTAAACCATTCAAGTTGTCTTGGTCTACCCAATTCAGAATAATTCCAAACAATATGAAGAGACTTTATAATCTTAAACATACAGTAACTAAATAATTCTTTCTCTCTCTCTCTCTCTCTCTCTCTCTCTCTGTTAAACAGATGCAATTTTTCATAAAAGACTGGTATTAATCATTTATCCCGGGTCAAGATATAATTTAAAATTTGGTATAAAATTTCAGGCTCACTTTAAGTCTTAAAACATTATTTTCTGTACTTACCCCAGTGGCAAAAGACGTTTGGCCTGTACTTTCTGAGAGGCCACTCGGTGGTGATGGTCCCTCTGGATGGGTCTGATCCCCCATAGCCCCCCTAGCACCCCCAAACTGATTCCTTCCCATATTACCAGGTACGTTAACCCCTGACATCATGCTGCCTTGGTCTCCAGTCCCCGCAGACGGCATACTTTTCACTGGTGCATTTGATCCAAATATAGAGGATTCTGGTTGTGTCGTTTGACTGAATCCAGATGGATATTGTGCTGCCCTCTGTTGGTTTGGTGGCGTATATCCTGGTGTATATTGTGCTGCCCTCTGTTGGTTTGGTGGGGTATATCCTGGTGTATATTGTGCTGTTGTCTGTTGGTTTGGTGGCGTATGTCCTGGTGTATATTGTGCTGCCCTCTGTTGGTTTGGTGGCAAATATCCTGGTGTATATTGTGCTGTTGTCTGTTGGTTTGGTGGTTGGTAACCTGATGGCAGAAACTGATGAGTTCCTGTTGGATAACCCTGTGCTGCCACCTGGGGAGAAGTTGTTGGATACCCAGGTGCTGCCACCTGTTGGGCAGAAGGAACCTGCTGTCTGGCTCCCTGTGAGAATGCTCCATATTCCTGTCCTGTTTGCTGGCCTTGAGGGGAGAACATGCCTCGTTCATGGTACCTACTATATGTATTACCAATCGGCACCTGTTGTTGCTGAGTGGGAGTCCTTGCATATAGCTGTTCTGTGGGTGGGTGGTACCCTTGTTGGGGTGCCACTGGAGGTCTATTAACTCGGTAAGGAACTGGAAGAGATTTTCCTAGTTTTACAGCCTGCGGTGTTTGACAAAAGCAACTAAAATGGCTTTGGTATCAGACTAGTACATGTAGTAAAAATTCAATTTTTAATCTGACCAGACATACAAGACAGGTAGAAATTTCAGGGGTATTGAAGACTACTTTTTCACTATCTCTTGATTTCAGCTTTGGAATTGCTACTTTTGATGGGCACTAAAACCAGAAATTTTCTGAAGTTCACCAGCTCAAGAAACCAGTGGGCAAAAAGTTTAAGGTGCATACATTTCTGTTTTTCCTTAGTTATTTTAACAAAATATTGTGAATATAACACTCTCCTACCTCAAATTCACTGATGCCTTTTTGAAAATTTTAAAAAGAAAAAAATAACCATGTTGCCGACAGTGTCGTCGGCAATTTTTGTTTCGTTTGTTTGTGTTGTTTGTCATGTTTACTTTGTGTTGTCTCGTCTTGGTGTGAGTGGCGCCCTCATATGTTGGATGATTGGTGTTCTGTTGAGTGGAAATAAAACGTCACCATGTATTGTCATGGTTGGAACACGCCTAGTACTGTACGCGAATGAGTGGAGGCAGCATTGTTATGTATGTATTTAGTTATTTTATATATGT